CCAGCCTCGCCCTCCCTCCCCGCTGCCTGCCCACCCCCGCGGACAGCACCGACTCGGCACTGCCCTCCCGCTGCCTCGGCACACGTCTCGGTGTCTAATGGAGCCTCAAACCCAGCACGTCCGAACCCGGGCACACTCCCCCCCCCTGCCCTGCAGACCTGCTCCTCGCCCGCCTCCACCTCAGCTCCCCTATCATCATGGCACCATCGGACCAAACAAGAGCGCCCCTCGTGACTCCTTATGCCCCGTTCAAGCCCTTCCGTGGCCCGGGGGGTCCACCCGCAGACCCAGCTGCGCACCCGTTCCCGCCCACGGCGCCCGCAGAGTCTTGTCCTCAGTCCTCCGGGAGCTCCTGGCCCTGCTGCCCGCCTTCCTTCCCCGGGAGACCCCTTGCTCAGACCCCCGGCTCGTCTGTTCTCGCGAACCAGGCCTTACTGGTATATGAGGATCTCCGGACCCTGCCAGTGGGCTCGGCGTCACTGGTTCCTTTCAGCCCCGCACATGCCGGTGCCGGCTGGATCCCCAGTAGGGGGCGTGCAGGAGGCAGCCTGTGGATTTCTCTAACGTGGGTGCTTTTCTTTCCTGCCGTCCCTTCTCTCAAAAAAAAAAGACCACCCGTTACCTGTGCTGCTCCCTCTGCCCAAACGCTCCTCCTGGTCGTCCATCCACGTGCTGCCGCCGCCTCTGCCTGGTCACCAGGCTCGGAGCAGCCTGCCCTTCCCCACACCATGGCTGCTCTCCTCTAAAAATATTTTTTTTCTTATTAATTTTAGAGAGAGAGTAGGAAAGAGAGACACTGACTTGTTGGTCCACGTATTTATGCATCATTGGTTGGTTCTTTCTTGTATGTGCCCTGACCAGGGATCAACCCCCAACCGTGGTGTATGGTGAGGACGCTCTAACCAACCGAGCTCCTCGGGCAGGGCCCTGGCTGCCTCCCCAGGAAGGGCGGCCCCCACACTGCACCCACTGCCCTGGTTTGTTGCTGTTTCTCATCTGTCTCTGCCGAGAGCGGAAACTCCTCACAAGGCATCAGGGGTGCCTCTGAGTTGGTGCTGGTCCTGCTCCTCAGGTCTCTGCTGTGGCTGCTGAGCCTAAGGATGTTCCACGGGATCCCAGCCACGCCAGGCGTGGGAGGTGAGCTGGGTCCAGGGACGGGAAGGGCCCAGACTTTCAGCCACTGTAGCAGACTGACCCGAGCCGTGGCCGAGGGTTATGGGAGCATCGATAAGTGTCCCCCCCATACGGGGACGTAGCCTGGGGGTAGTCTCAGGAGGGGCTGGGGTGGGTGGACAGACTGCCAGCTCTCTGCCTGCTCTGTTACAGCCCCTGGAAACAAGCCAGAGTTGTATGAGGTGAGTGGCGGGCACCTGCCTGGTTGGCACTGACCCATCAGCATATGCCCATGTGAACACCAGTCTGTGCCAACATGCTGCCCCTCTCTCCAACAGGAAGTGAAGCTGTACAAGAATGCCCGAGAGCGAGAGAAGTGAGTCCAGGGCCCAGGTTGCCCCCCCAGCACACCCCCTCAGGCCCATGCTCCTACCCTGAGCAGCCTTCACACCCAGGGTCCGAAGGACGTGGGTCAGAGCTCTGCACAGCGGACGCACCCAGTGGGGTGGTGCCTGGCCCTGGGGGCCTCGTGGCCTTGGCCTGATGGACACACCCTCCTCAGGTACGACAACATGGCGGAGCTATTCGCCGTGGTGAAGACCATGCAGGCCCTGGAGAAGGCGTACATCAAGGACTGCGTCACCCCCAACGAGTGAGGGCGCTGCCACCCACAGATGGGTGCCTGGCCCTGGAAGCCGTGTCTTCCCTCCAGGGCCAGGGTGCTCAGGAATGAGAGGGGAGAGGGGTCTGCATGTGGGCATCTGCCTCCCCCGTCGGGCTGGCAGCCCGGGCACCGTCTGCAGCGTCCCCACGGAGAGGTGCCCACCGCCCCGCTCCCCTGGGTGCAGATGTCCTCGTTGGTGAGGCCTTCGGAAGGCGAGCACGAGTCGGGAGGGCGCGGCTGAGCCCGGCACCTGGGAGGTTCATGGAGCCTTTATTCAGTGGGACAGGCCCCCAGAGGCCACGAGCTGTGGGTGTGGAGACATGACCAGCACAGTCCCGGAGAGCAGGCACGGGGAGAGCCTCTGCAGCGCGGGGCTCCGGCCGATCTGCGGTCCAGGCCTGGTTCCCCCCAACACAGAACCTTCCCGTGTAGACCCGATGAACGGTCTCGCCCTCAGTGGTCCAGCTCTGACTCGTCACCCAGCCCCCCTTCTCCCCAGAGCGGCCCTGGGTGGGGGCAGGCAGGGCGGCCGTGCTGGTCCTGAGCCCGTCCTCCCCCCAGGTACACCGCGGCCTGCTCCCGCCTCCTGGTGCAGTACAAAGCCGCCTTCCGGCAGGTCCAGGGCTCGGAGATCAGCTCCATCGATGAATTCTGCCGCAAGTTCCGCGTGAGTCCGCCAGGGGGGGGCGGGAGGTGGGCGCGATGTGGGTGCTGTTGGGAAGGGGCCTGGCCAACACCCCTGTGCCCCTCTCAGCTGGACTGCCCACTGGCCATGGAGAGGATCAAGGAGGACAGGCCCATCACCATCAAGGACGACAAGGGCAACCTCAACCGCTGCATCGCAGACGTGGTCTCGGTGAGCCCGCCATGGCACGTGCGCACGGCCTGGCTTCCCTGGAGCTGCACGGTCCTGGCTCCTCACTGGCAGGGCCTGTGGCTCAGAATGAGGGGGGGCAGGCTGCTCCCCTGGGCCTTGTCCAGGAGGCCTCCGAGTCCCCTCCCTGCCTGAGACCCAGTGGGACGGCCCTGGGTCAAGGCCGCCGCCAGAGCTCCCGCGGGCAGCAAAGTGGAACAGAAGTGTGGGAGGAGCCTGAGGACCAACAGCCCAGGCTGTGGAGGGAGAGGATGGGTTCCTAGGGAAGAGAGGGGCTGGGGGTGGCCTGGGCCAGATCCTGCGAGGGGTCGCCCCCCCCCCCGCCCCCGTCCCTGGTGGGGGTATTGCCTCACACACACACTTGCCCCCAGCTCTTCATCACGGTGATGGACAAGCTG